CAACCAGGGACGACTCTTGGAGGGTGTGTTGCCGTATGCTCGTATTAGGAGTTTTGTAGACACTGATCTTTGAAATAGTCGTGTATATATATGATGTTTGCATCACTTACTATTCTCTTTAGCATTACGGGAATAGTTTGCCAGTTTTGTATGACTTTGATACTTAGTTATTCAGCCAAAAAAAAATCAATAAAGAACGCATTCAGTTACTTTTTTTGTTATCAGTAGTTGGACTAGTGAATTTGTGATACCATAGGGATGATAATGAGTAGATAGCTTCTCAAAGTTGGTGTCAATTAGTGCAATTTTGCCTTTAATATACTAATATAGATTGAATACTTAGGATGTAGGTTTGTATTAAGAATCTACCCTTCATTATTTATATTCAAGTAGGATTGTACGATCCTACCTACCTTAATACCCTACCTACAATTTAGATTGTTGGATCAAATTATGATTTTAACACAAACTTAACCCACATGTCAATGAAATAGTTAAACTTTAAATATATCATATAACTAATATCTATAACTAATACTAAAGTAGTAACCGCTGATATCATTCTATTTTAAGATTAGACACATGTTATGTTGTCATTAAAAATTCTCTTCAAAACTATAAATGACGTCATCATTTTGTAATTTTTATTTTATTTTATTAAAATTTTGATCAACTGCATTATTATTACTATCAAATTCTGAAAAACGGTCCATTCTCTTTAACAATAATGTTTCAATTTTTTCTTCCTCAGGTACCCTTTTCATCATTTAATTTTTCTATGAGCTCTATTTTTAAAAAAATAAAAAAAATTGACGTTTTATTTGTTTTGGGAATATTTTTGTTTTTAATTTTGGTATGAAAAAATAAACAAATTTTAAAAAAATTATTTAATCAAATCGTGCATCGCACGAGACTAATCTAGTATAAAGCTAAACTTTTAGCCAGGCCACGAGACAGTGACACTTGGCATTCTAGTTTTTCGCCAAGTGTCGCGCCGAGTAGGCGACAATTTATTATTAATATGACACATAGGATTTATTTAAATATATTTTTTGTAGGATAGGATAAAAAAAAGTTTGATAGATTCAGTAGGATAAAAGAAGTTATTTTAGTGTTTTATTTTCAATAAAATTTGGATGATTTAGTATGATAAAAAAATTATCTTAGAAAACTTTTGGTTTAATTAGAAATTTATTTTCAATAAAATACCAATATTTCTATACAAATGACGGATCTAGAGAGGTACAAAAGAAAAAAAAAATCAAAGAGACCTGTTACTATATGTAACTATTCTCTTAATTCTTAACATGCAACCAGCCTTTCCTTAGATGTTCAGAAAAAATGAAAAGAGATCACAGCTTTAGACTACCGTTCTTTTTTGTTGTACATTATTACTTCTAATTTTTTAAGCTTGTCAAGTGAATACTAATCCATAATTTACCCATAAACGGACAAGAAGTGATTCAACTAACATATATATTTTACATAAAAAGTTTTATTTTAAAATTCCATAAACAACCTGGGTATTGATAAGTCTATTTTATATATATTTTTATTCCCCGTCCCACGGTCATATTTGTGCTTATTTGAGCTCTACGGAGCTATTTTTATTTACTAATATACGTTTTCTAGTGTTTTTGTAGAGTTGGTATTATTTTGTAGGAATTTGCAGAATTATGTTAATTTCCGAGCTTATTGTGCCACTACGAAGATATTGGAGTTTGATCGTATTTTATGACCGTATATTTAAAGTCCAAAGTCGAGCTAATTAATTTTGATTCGGTGATTAAGGGTTCGGTTCGTTTGGAGTACTAATTTTTGTTACAAGTCCAAGTTAGATTAAGAAGAAGGAAATTGCGGACCGAGCAATAAGGCCCGAAATCAGAACTGCCGGGCGAGCTGTCAGTTTGCTTCATCATAGTGGGCTTGTTGTTTAGGCCCACTTGGATTTGTTGTGTCGGTAGGCGGTAGTAGTATATAGGCTTATCATGCTTTTAGATTTGTTTTAGGTAGCAGCTTTAGATTATTTTTTTAAGTATACTTTGGTCTTTCTTGAATTAGCTTCCATTAATTAGTTTAGTTGACTTTTAGTTTATAGTTTTCCTTACTTTCAATTTTAGATCTTATTATTGCTTTGTTATTTCAAGTATTTGATTATTTCACAAGTTCGGATTTTCGTCAGTTCGATAGTATATTTTTCTTTCTTTCAGTTCGATAGTAAATTTATCATCTTTGTTTCATTCTTGTTTATTTTATGCTTATTTTAATTGCTTTCTTATTAGTTTTATAATTATTGTTTTTATTATGTTTCTTTAATTACCTTGATTAGTTTAGTTTTAATTATATTTGTGTAGTTTATTTCTAGGGTTGTGGGGATCCATGAATAATACGAAGGGGTAATTTATTATTGTTGATTGATTAATTTCCTATTGATTGATTTAATGCTATGCAATTAGATTAGGTCTGGTTTAATTGTATGAGTTTTGCAATATTGATTCGAGAGATAATAATTAATGTTTAGGCTTAGTTTCAATAGGCATGTTAATCTATAAATGGTTAGGTCGAGATTCGAGAGATGAGATTTAATACCGGTAGATAGCCTCCACCCTATTCAGAAAGTCTACTTAGCCCAGTGAATCGAATCCCCGAGCTCCCTCTCTAGCCTACATTCTCTACATGATTGAGACCAATCGATCTCCCCGGAAAGATGAGGAAGAAGAAGATTTATGTGATTATAATACGTAGCGACAACCCTTTATAATCTGGTTAATTTATACATTGATAATTGATTGTTATGTTTACCCTAGAGTATTATTTATTGGTGAACCTATACCCTAGAGCTCTTTATTATTGATTATTCCTTTGATTTATTTGCTTAGTTTTATTATTAGTTTAATCCATACAAATACAAATTAGTTACCTGATAATTTAGATTATAATAGTTAATTAAGAGTAAAAGAACATTGTTTCCCTGTGAATTTGACCCTACTTCTATATCTACTTTAGTTAGAGGACTTAGGAATTACTTTTGATTAGGTGATACAATTTTAGTCTGTCAGGTATCGCACTGGGCACAAAACTAGTAATTAAATAATAGTATAGATTATTAAAAAAAAATTGATATAACTATCTCATTTTTCTAAAGTCTTACCCACTTTTCGTTTTTATCCGTTTTTTTCAGTTTTACTCATTTTTATGACAACTTTTATTCATTTTTTTTTATCATCTACAACCATATTTTGTGGGACCCAATTTTATTCAATAAATCTCGTACTCTCTATCTTTCCTCTTTTTAATACGGAGTACAAAAATACCTACATGTATGATCCCCATTTTTATTTGGATAAATATACTTTAATAATCCCAACTATGGCGATCTACTTCTAATAATCTCAACTAAGTTTTATTATCTAATAATCCCAACTATGGGGTTAGTTTGCCTCTAGTGATCTCAACCGGTCCACACCAAGTCAACGACTTGTTGTAACAGGTAACTAATACACATGTCAGCATGTGATTGGTCTAAAATTTTAAAAAAAAAACAAAAACAAAAATCTTAACAGCCACCAACCCCTCCCCTTCCGCCACCGCGAAACCCAAGGGCCAACCCCTAGCCCATCAAAAAGTAGTCGGTTGCCTCCCCTAACCCCCGAAAATGACCGATCGACCCCTCCTAACCCCCAAAACCACCCTAGTTGGCCCACTTCCACCCGTCAAACCACCCACCTTCCCTCGAAAACAACCTCTCAATAGTCGAAACCGACCCTCCTCCCTTCCCAACCCCAAATTCGGCCCCATGGGCGGTTTCGAGGGTGGGGAAGGGAGTGGGAGCGTTGGAGTGACACTTAATTTCTTTTTTTTTCTTTTTGATTTTCCGGCGAAGGGGGGAAGGAAGAGAGGAGATTGGTTTAGGGGGTGGGGGTGGGGGTGGATTGACTGTGTTGCTTTGGGGGTTGGGAGGGTTAGCCGGCCGTTTTCGGGGGTTTCCTGTGGGCTGGGGGTTGGCCTAGGGTTTCACAATGGGGGAAGGGGAGGAGGTGGCTTGGAATGGTTTTTGTTTTTTTATTATTCTTTTTTTATTTTTTAATATTACACCAATCACGTGCTAAACGTGCGTGGCTTTTATAAAACAAAAAAATACCCTTCCAGCAGGTTATCGGTCATTGGGACCACTGAGGCAAAGTCGTAACATAGTTGGAATTATTAGAAGTAAATTGTCAATATTTGTGAATATTTTTCCTTTTTATTTTTCTTAAATTTGCGTATTTTACAGTAACTGAGTAAGACTCAGCAAAGCAAAGGTAGTACTTAACTTTTAATTAATACATACTTCGCATTTAACAACATATTTCAAGATACATTTTTTTAAAAACGTTATTAAAAGATTATTGTTAAAGTGAGTATTTGAATAGTGACAAAAGTATTGTCAATTATTATGGGACAAAAAGGAAATTGTTTTTAATACCCCATTACATCTTATAATATTGAACCAGTTAAATACCTTAAAAACTTCCATCGACTCATAAGTAAAATTTACTAATTAGATTTGATAAATTACATTCAATTGAAACAACGAATGGTGATTTAATATTAAAAAATATTTATAAAAATATGAGTTTCTGTAAATATCCGAAGAATGGGAAAAAAGCTTATTTTTAATAGTTTACATAATATAAATTATTTTTGCCAATAGAATTTATTGAAAAATTAGAATATTAAGTTTTATAGAGATAAAGATGACAATAAATATACCAATCATTCTATTAAAAAAATCGTGTATGACACGACTATCATCCACTTTTTTTTTTTTTTTTTTTTTTTTGACATATTCATCTACTTAAAACTATGCGTTGAATGATCAAGGTGAAAAAAGAGATTGGAGTAAAAGGGTTGATATTATAAATTAAAAATCCATTTTATCCTAAATAATTGACATTTGACATTTTTCCACTATTCATTCATATAATTCGTATTAATTTCGACTATAGTTTCATATAATAAATTTTAGGAAAAATTAACATAAATATCTCAACTTTGTTTACCCTTCTCATTTTAATCCATACTTTTATTTAACTCATTTTAATCCTAATTATTTATGTCACATCTCAAATTAGTCTAAGGACTTTGGTTACCTACTACTACAGGTAAAACCTCATTTCCTCAAAAAAAAAAAAAAAGGAAAAAGAGAAAAGCAAAAGCAAAAATTCATTTGCTACATTATCTCACCTAACCTTGTCATCATCTAATGGAAATAAACCCATCACATGGCATCACTACTTCTTCCATCTAGATTAAAAGGAAGTACTGTAGTAAAGTAAGAACTAAGAAGCTAAGCTCATTTTCATAGTTTCATCTGATTTAGTGGGTTTAAGGATAAATTTGAAGGTTAAATGTTATCACAAATGTTGATGCTTGACAACAATGGTGGAAGAGGTTTTACGCAATTAGAAAGTGCGGAGTACCCAGTAAGTGTTATCATTAAATCATTTATCTAACTTTTTTAAAACTTAGATTTAGTTTATTTTTTGTTGTTTTTAGAGTGAAAACTATCAAATTTTCAAATTGGAAATTGATGTTATTGAATCATCAATAATTGAAACTGTTGATGAAATTGTTAGAGAAAAAGAAAATTAAACATGTTTTTTTTAAAAAAAAAAAAAATAACGAAAATTGTTGTTAAATAGGTATAATGCACATGTTGCTTGTCTCGTAGCATTCATATCCACTAAAATTTCTTACACTATAAATTTATTCTCCACCTGAGTTTCCACCAACATCTTTTTCGAACAGAGTCAATTCTCTTGCTCCACTCCAATTTGGCAACTCCCTTTTACTAGTATATATCTTCAGTCTCCCTCCCCTAACATTCTAACAAACATCAAAGAATTTTTTCAAATGAATTTAGAGCTGTAAAAAACTGACCCGACCAGATTACAACTCGACTCCGACATGGCGCAAGATAACAAAAACATCGACAAAAAAAGCGGGTTTAGCAGTAGCAACTCCACCTTTTACAGCAAACGTCGACCAATTCCACTCCCACCAAACACATCCTTAGACATCACCACCTTCATCTCCTCCCGACCCCACCATACCACCACCGCCTTCATCGACGCCACCAATGACCGCCACGTGTCCTACTCCGAGCTCTGGTCCACCGTTGATTCCCTCTCTTTTTCTCTCTCCTCCACGTGGGGTGTCCGCAAAGGCCACGTCATCCTCATTCTCTCTCCTAACTCTCTCTCCTTCCCGCTCGTCTGTCTCTCCGTCATGTCCCTCGGCGCGTTGATCACCACCACCAATCCTTTGAACACCACGCGCGAGATTTCCAAACAAATTGCGGACTCGAAGCCGTTCCTCGCCTTCACTACCCCTGAACTCGCCCCTAAACTCGCCGGCTCCGGCGTCCCGGTGATTCTACTCGGCGGTGAAAAGGGTAGTTTCGGGAACTTGAAAATATTGACGACGTTGGAGGAGATGTTGACGACGGTCAAAGGAGAGAGAAAAGAAGTGAGAGTGAAAGAGAGAGTTTGCCAAAACGACGCTGCAGCGTTGCTGTATTCGTCGGGAACTACTGGGGAGAGTAAAGGGGTAGTTTCGTCTCATCGGAATATGATCGCAATGGTACAGACGATCATCGGACGGTATAGATTGGATGATGAAGATCAGAGGAATGGTAACACATTTATATGTACTGTTCCAATGTTTCATATCTATGGCCTTGTTGCCTTTGCTACAGGTAATTTATTAACTCCATTATTTTATTTTATTTTATTTTACTGTTTTAATGGATAATTTTTACTACTTACTTTACTTGACGTTGTGATTATTACTTTATTCTTGTAATATAGTGTCTATTTCATTTTACATACGCACTTACACGAAGCTAATGGTGACTCATTACTCATTCATGATTATGCATTTTTTTTTTTTTTTTTTGGGAGTAGTTAAAGTAAGTCAATGTGGGTAATTGTGGTCCAAGTGTATAATATATTCATTTTATATCAGCCGTTGTAATTACACTTCATTAAAGATATTAATTGTTAATGTCTGTAATAATGATGATTGATATTAATACTTGTATATAACTCCTTTTTTTTAGCAATGAGGCTGTAATTTTAGATTTTATGTTAGACATTTTGGTGCGAGGTGCTTTGTTACCATTGGCGGACTTGGCCTTATGCCTGGTGGGTCACATTATGTGACTCACCAGTCGGAAATTCCTGGGTCCGCCACTGTTTGTTACGAGTATATATATATAGGCACTTATGCATCAATGCATATGATATTTTCCTGGTTTTGAGAAATTATAAAGTAGCTTTGTGTTGTTTGAATCTACTTAAGTCTTAATGAAGCATGCTAAAATGCTAGTGGTAGCTTTTAACCTTATTGTTGTGATTAGTGGATGCTATATTATTGACCATAGTGTCTTCAATTAATGAATATCTTTTCCAAATGATTTGTCGAGAAATAAATTGATTATTGCAATATCAATAAAAGGGTCAATGGATATCCTCATATCATTAATTTAATCTCATAGAAGTAGCTTACAGAATTCTATACCAGTATGTGAATTGATTTCGAAATAGCATCAAGGAACAAGTTTTAACTTTGAATTGTTTTTATATGAGTTGCAAGGTGTTTTTATAGAGTTTTTCTTTGTATTTACTGTCATTTCCCGGTATCAGAAACTGACAAGAGCCAGAAGTTGGCTAGTCCTAGTAAATCACATATCAAATTCTAATGTTAGATGTTCGGAATATGGCCATTGACTCCTTGTGCTGTGGAGGATGATCTATGAAACGATACCAATCATCATGCTGTATTGTACCAAAATCTGACTGAGTGAATTAATTCCAAATTAGTTAGGATATCCTGGAGAATACTTTTCTTGGTTTTGTAAATTTGTGTGAAATCTTACTTGAGCTTGGGACATGTAGTAGTAACTTACTAATCTTTCACTTTTAGACCCCAAATTCAATAGGAATTTCAAAAAAATGGCTAGTGGAATAGTGGAATTAAAATAAAAAACATTAATTAGAGAGTAATAACCTTTTGGTTTGATGCTTAAAAGTTAAAACAGTTACACTGGATAAATATTGTAGCTAATGTTGATGTTTTATCCCTTGGGCTCTTGCCCACAGGATTACTAGCAGCTGGAGCTACCATTGTTGTCTTGCCCAAATTTGAAATGAATGATTTGCTCCTAGCAACATCTAAGTACAAGGTCAGTTACTTTCCGTTGGTCCCACCAATTCTGGTAGCAATGGCGAATCACGCTGATCATATCAAGAAGAATTATGATCTAAGTTCATTGAAGCATGTTTTGTCCGGAGGTGCCCCATTAGGAAAGGAAGTGATAGAAGGATTCATGGAGAAGTTCCCAAATGTTGTGATCATGCAGGGTTATGGGCTTACAGAGTCTACGGGCATTGGGGCTACAACAGACTGTTTGGAGGAGAGCCGGAGGTATGGGACAGCTGGGTTGCTCTCACCAAGCACAGAGGCAAAGATTGTTGACCCTGAGAGTGGAAAGGCCTTGGGGGTTAATCAGACTGGTGAACTTTGGCTTCGCAGCCATACTGTTATGAAAGGTTGTTTGCTCTTATACTTCAATTCTTAAGTGCTCAGTGTCATTGTTTTCTTTGAAATTGTTTTCCCTCAGTAACTTTTTATGAAAATAGGAAAAAGGAGGAAGTTTTAACATGTTGCTTTATGAGTTTTGTGGATGGCTTGGTTGAAATTAAAATCAGCAATTATTGTTTTTTTGTTAAATTTATATCTTGTAAGGTTTTTTTTTTTAACAGGAGACTAGTAAGTTTTAACATGTTGCTTTATGAAATTATGAGTTTTATGGATGCCTTCATATTTATTAAAATCAGCAATTTTTATCTCTACCTAGCTTCAAACCCAAAAGGTGAATATTCATAGTCCGTATTTATCCAAGGCATCAAATCATAAATTCTTACTTGGAGCTTGGACCTCGTAGCTCTGACATTGTCAATACATCATATGCATATTACATTTGGTCCCTGATAAGATTCTTGGATGCTGCTTCATAATTTTTATTTTACTGCTTCTACTTTGAACTTATTGCTGGTTTGCGGAGATCTATATTAAAGAGTATGCAAATCCATAGATAAAATGCTGATGTGCAGTTGTTACTAAAAATTCTGTTTTAAGACTGAAAATACTCAAAACTGTACCAGTACTGGCAGAACATGATCTAAGACCTGTAATTAATGAGTCCGATCGTTGTCCCTGCCAAGCACAATTTATTTTCAGATGCTATGTTGCCTAAAGTCTTACATTATTGTTGCAGGCTACTTTAACAATCATGAGGCGACTGTTTCAACTCTCACTTCAGATGGTTGGCTAAAAACAGGGGATGTGTGCTATTTTGATGAAGATGGCTTCCTCTTTGTGGTCGATAGACTGAAGGAGTTGATCAAGTACAAGGGATATCAGGTACTTCTTAACCCAAGTAATTCCATGCCGAGTTAAATCAATAATTATATAAGTGTCTGTGTATTATCTTTTCCCTTTTCTGGGTGCGTGTGGGGTACAGGAGTTGTAACTCTTATTATAGTGCTTCCTTTGATGATTGATTATGTTTCTTTCCTGGAAATATTACTTAGTGATGCTTCAGGCTAAGATACCTTATACATCTTTCTTCCTGTTATACTCTGTTATCTTATAGAAACACTAGTGCATTCATTTGATCAACAAGGTTGTCTGCTGTTGTGGATGCTAAGCTGAATAGTAATCAAGTATATGCTCATTTCCTCAATAACTTGGCTACTTTCATCTCTAAATAACTGCAAATAGTGTTTTTTTTTTTTTTTTAAGCAATCAAACAAGTTTTACAGACTATACAGGTATGTGTATCAACGTACAATCGACCATCAAGTTCTCCTTTGTTACAAGGGATATGCATTTCACCTTGAGTATCATGTTTTGGGTACTTAAAACTCCTACATGTGTGCGGATGCTTTTAATTTTTTCTAATTAGGTAATCAACACGATATTTCTAAAAAGAGCAGTCTTACAGTAAACTTGGATAAGTTCCCATGTTAATGAAATGATTAAAGTGGACTGTAGTGGAGCTTGGGTAATATAGAAAGCTCCTGCATTCCATATATGTGGTCAACAGGAGTAGACATCAAAAAAATGTAAACAAGTAATTGCAATGGATTAATGAATCTAAATCGATATCTGGATCTTTTGGCTCTTTGAGAGTCTTGATGAATACGGAACCTCTACTTCATTACGTAGACTCACTCTCTTTTATCAAAAAGTCTAGTACATATTTTTTAAATGAGACCGTCTTAGCATCATAAGACCACCTTGTAGGTGGGTTAGGCTGAGGGGAGAGAGAAATCGGATAGGGTCACATGCTTACAGTGACTCACTAAAGTGGTTTTATGATGGTAAGGTGGTCTTGCACAAATATTTTAGGGGAATAGAATATGCAAAACTCTCTAGCCATTAAGTCTCATAACTCATGAAACTATGAACTAGAAAAAATAAGTCTCATAACTCATGAAACTCTCTAGTCATGTTACTCGTGTATGCTACGTCCTGAAAAAGCTATCATAGTTGCAAACATAAATTTATAACTTAAAATTTGAACATAAATGATACCCCAACGTAGATGTAGTGGTGGAAAGAGGATTGAAAGAAGACGACTATTATCTTCTTTATGAGGGTTGAACAATATGACTGCTGATTTTCAACAGAGGGGTAATTAAGGTCTCTTAGTGTTAACTTGGGTTAATAATTCTCTAATTGTTGATCTTCTGTCTTACTCAATATGGTTTTAATTGAAAACCACAGGCTGATAGGATGTTAACAGAAGATTAATATTATGCTGAAATTTAGACATGAATATGATATCTTTAGTTCCTGCCCCTGAAAAAATTCTCATTAATGTATTTGATATTTAGGTTCCACCTGCTGAATTAGAAGCATTGCTGCTTACTCATCCGGAAATTGCAGATGCTGCTGTTATTCCGTAAGATTTAACTCTAAACATATACACATCCTTCTTTGTGATTTCATTTCTTTCTCTGTATGTTTATCATTCTAAAATACCTGATATAGTAATGCTCTTTTGTACACAACAGGTTCCCAGATAAGAATGTTGGTCAGTTTCCAATGGCATATGTAGTGAGGAAAGCTGGTAGTAACTTATCAGAGAATGAAATCATGGATTTTGTAGCAAAACAGGTGAGCTGAAAGGCCAGAGAGCATGAAACAGTTGTTAGGCGTTTTTAAACTTACCTACGCTTATGAACTTATCTGAAGTTATTAACCCTTATTTGAACTAATTAAAACTTATTATTCCTTCTTTCAAACCTATTAACTCTTATAGAAAGTTAATATTTGAACTTGGTTAGCCCTTATATCTAATTTTTACATATCTTGGATGGGAAACATAGAGTAGAGTACAAGTTGGGATGTATAAGGAGACATGCAAATGTCAAGCTGTGTTTCCATTTTGTTCATTCAAAGTTGTATGAAATAAGTGAACTTTTCGTGGTGCAGGTCGCTCCTTACAAAAGAATCCGGAGGGTGGCATTCATAGATTCTGTGCCCAAGAACGCATCTGGGAAGATTCTGCGGAAAGACCTCATCAAAATGGCAACTTCTGGTTCCAAATTATGAGCCATTGAGCCTGTTGTATTGTAGAAAAACACCTCTTTAAACCCATTGGTGACCAGCTTGTATCAAGAGCTTGGTCACATATATAGATTCGTTGTTATTTGTTAAATGAGATTGCTGAGGAATCAATACCTCCCCGACCAATGTAATATGGCATTGTTGCTGTTGTATGAATATCGTACTGGAAATCTTGAATAAGCTTGCGTATAGTTTGTTTGAGCAACAAAATTAATGGTAGTTAAACATGTATTTGACATGAGCCTTTTTATCAATTGCAATAGTTCACATGGTATCCTAGTCTTTAAGAAGTGTATTATTGTGAATTTTGTGAGCCATCCTGTTTCAAATTAATGTGATAAAAAGAAGTACTCCCTCCGCCCCTTTTTATAGTTCCCATTTGGATTGTGCACGTTTGTTAATGCAATACTTTGACCATAAATATCGTTAGTTGCTTATTAGTAAAAAATATAACAATTGAATATTGATAATTTATTCATCGAGACGAATCAAATAAGACCCAATATGACTACATTATATCTTATATATTAAGAGTAATTTAAAAAATTCTCTCACATTATGAATAGTGTCAAAATTCCAAATGAAAACTATAAAAAGGGACGGAGGGAGTAATTACTAATAATTAGTATGTTCAATCAGTATAAACTCTCCAACCTTTTTTTATATAGCCAATTTTGTTGAGACTTGTACTAAGCGGACAGATACTTTACCTTTTTTTAATGTGGGGTTTAAGAAAAGTAGAGAGATGTTATGGTAATTACGTTCCTTAAATACACAATGAACTAATAAGGAATGGAGTACTCGTAATATTTTAGGACCACGGGGAGTATTTGTAATAAGATTTGCAATCAAACTTTGCCATTCTTTGGTATCTTGGCTTCTCTATTATTGTACAGTTATGGAAGTAATTTCAAGATGTAGCTTAGAGTCTACTGTAGGCACTAGATCCATCCATCCAGCTGGTTGTCACCTTCTCAATTTTTATGAAGAAGTATTGATGCATAGGCCCTATGCGTTTCGCATGCAAATAAGATGTCGTTTTTGTAGATAATGGAAACCAGAGAAAAAGCATTGGTGGAAAATATGTTGGCAAAAAGTATCACTATATGTATAATAGTACACAAAAAGTATTATTCAGACAACTTATACTTTAATGATACATATACATGCATAAGCACACAAAAATGTACCACTGAACCATTAAGAGATAGAAAATGTACCACCGAATTGAACTCCAAATTGCCCTCAGCTCCTATGTGCATGCGAAATACATAGGCATTAGGACCTATGCGCCTAGATGCACTCAATTCTAATAAGTAATTAACTACATTATCAATTGAACGAGGGTATATATATCATCAAAACTTAAGAAGAAAAATGCAACAAGAATAAATATAAGAGCCAAAATACAAAGCCTAAATATTCAAATGAACCCTTTATTGTGGTTGGGTTGCATATCTAAAAGTGAAAAAAATAAACATTAAATAAACATTTATTACACCAATTTACTTGTGAGTTGTTGATAAATTTCCAACTTAATACTAAAAAAGAAAGTATATTAAATGCTTAAATGCAACCCGCATATAACATTACCCCTGAAAGTAACTTCCCACAATCTCAAGTCCCAACAATAGCCCCTTCAAGTATGTGGTATAGGTGATATCCCGGTTTGATATTTTGAGTATGTATCGCCATATTTAATTATTTGACTTCCACCATATAAAATATGTACTAAAATTAGCAAATAATAGAACTAAGAATTATTATTATTATTTTTTTTTTTTGAACGAGAACTAAGAAATTAAAATTATACAAAAAACACACTATAAATTCATCCTCAATACAAGTTAACTATATTTTAGCTGAGAGTCTATACATAGATAGATAAAATGGTAATTTTTTTTAAATTTACGTGTTTTAGATTGTGAACTAAACTATGAAATCCATTTTGTACATAATTTTCCTGAAGATACTTAGTTTTTCTTAATTAATTCACGCTCATTAAATAAAACTCACGTTTGTTGACAAGCAATAAAATGGTCAATTTCAAAGTCCAAATGAATATGTGGTTTTAATTTCCTTCAAACATCATCTAATTTCAAACAAATTACAAGAAAATAGGCAAAAAGAAAAAGAAGTATGGAAAGAATATTAAAAAGCAAATTGCACATAAGAAGCCATGGAATTTAGTAGAGAAAGAAGGTACCAAGAAAGAGCTCCTTTTTTATTGCTAATTGCAATTTCAATTTCAATTATTCGTAGTCTGGTTTTTGCAACTTTAATTACACTTGCATCACTTCCATTGACGGCTATGACATCACCTTAATTACATAATAAAGCTAATGTAATCATATAAGTCCGTACCATTTTAATTTAATTGCTCATAGTTATCACTTTATTTTCTTTGTCCTTTTCCCGAATATATTTATCAAAAGTGAATAAAAGTCTCTTAACTTGAAAGAATTTGGTTTAGCACAAAAAAAAAACACATAAGAATTTAGTTACAAATCATCGAGCAAGAATTAGGCGGCAATAACGGTAAGTTTGATCATACCTCTATTTGAGTTTAGTTGTTCTATAACTAGTTCATGTAACCGGCCTATAATTGATGGTTTAAGGTTTAAATTTATTTTTATACTATCATTCCCTGATTTCTTTAAGATTAAAATGTGAATTCATCACATGAATCCCATACTCAACGCTAAATATATCACTTGAAGGGAGAGATGAATGAGATTTAAACCTGTGACGTTGTCACAATAGCTCTATTTCATGTTGGTACGTTAAGTCTAATACCATATTATAGGGTAAACTTAACTAAAAGATTAACTCAACTATCAACTTATTACTATATTTTTCTTTTGCTATTGTCAAAAAAAAAAAAAAAAAAAAAAAAAAAAAAAAAAAAAAAAAACTATCAACTTATTACTAGCCACTAGCTACTCCATAAATGAATTACACTTGCTTTTTTACAATATTCTATATAGACTTTTCTTTTTTTCCTTTTTTTTTTTTTAATTACCAACATCAATATAGATTTTTGAGTTTACCATTGATAGCTTTTCTTATATTTTAGTAAAAAAAAATATAAAATTAGATATTTGTTAAGTACTCATCTTAAGAAATTAAACAAACACCCTAATTTGTTAATTGTATGAGTGATAGTAAGACTTTGACTTCAAATAATAAAAGAATGTAACCATTCATACTTCAGAGTTCAGATCAATTTTTGTCAAAATGTTTTTTAAGGAAATAGTTTGATTCTTATAGTTATTGGAAGAGTGTCCCCTTTTTCAACCATCTAATCCTAGCAGGTTATTTAAAAAAAAAAAGTTTTAATCTTTAAATATTGTAAACTTTTCACAAATTCTTGAATAAGAAATAATTCTATTTAACTTATTGTAAGATGTGTTAAAATTACTCTTATATGCTTTTGTACCCTTAATATTTCAAAAAAATAAATAATAATAATAAAAATAATAATAATTTGTACCATTCAATAACACTTATAAATTGAATTAGATTAATTATACTCCCTCCGTCCGCTTTTATCTGCAACAAAGAGGTATTATTTGTGAGATATAAAATATTTTTTTGTTGCAGATAATAGCGGACGGAGGAAGTATTACTCTTTATAACATGTAACCATTAGAAAATATACACATTAAATTAAAATTTAAATAAAATACAATCAAATTCAATATAAAATTAAAGTTACTCTTAGATGGGTTAAAGTCACCATAAAATTATTGTTGGTTATCCTCAGATTGAGCATTTTTCAATAAAATTAATTAACGAAAGTTTGTATTATACAAAGATTTATTGGTATTTTTTTTTTTGGCTTTAGAAAGAAATAAAGAAGATATAACATTCAACCCATTTGAATAATGAATTGTCCTTCTCCCAACAAACAAAAAAATTTGCCACTCAAATTAAAATTTCTTCGTAATAACTAAAAGGACTCGCATCAAACCCACTTTTTGGAAAGAAAATTATACACAAATTACATTTGTTACACGTGATATTATTATGATAATAACTTGTACTGTGTTCATTGTATAGATGTGAACTTATGTTATGTTTCTTGACTAAAATCAAATTGAATTGACTTGAAAAGCATATATAGGTGACAAAACATATACCACAGATATAAATAATAATGCACTTAAAAAAGAGAGACATTTGGGTCGGATAATGTCGCAATCTAAAGGGAGATGCAAGCAACATCCATGCAAGTTCCCTACACAGTACAAAAAGCTAAGGGCCTAGCTACAATAACCTTACACCACATGATTGGATCCATCTTTAATATGGAGTACTTGAACTTTTCAATTATCTTTTACAAAGAAACTTAGTTTTTTTTTTTTTTTTTTTTTTTTTACATGATAGAAATTTTGACGATAACCACCTAATTTAAAATTGTGGCTCCCATCTGACATATTTAAATTATCAGAAAACATACCGCGTGCTTGTAATAAGAAATTTGACGAATTTTTCAGGTTTTTTTTTTCTTCTTTTTCCACATATGTTCTTCTATTTCTTGATTAAAATCCTAATAATACAAACAAAACACAAATTTGGTACTTAACTTACAAAATTGGGGTTAATTATAAGATGGTGTTCATCATTAAGGGTTTTTAATTGAAATTGAGGCTTGTTATTTAGCGAATAATTTACGAAATTAGGTCTAATTTGCATCAATTTCATGTATGTGCTACGTCTTTGATTAGTACCAAAATTGATATTATTTTCAATTTGAAAAAAATTCAAATTTGGGATGGGCCTTAAGGTCGGGGATCGGAAGAACAACAAATTATAATTGAAACATGTTCAATAACTTGTTTATGTTTAATTTGTGTGAGCTTGAATTATGTCGAATCTACTACCAAACGCTTACTTAAATCTTTGTTGAAAAAAATGCAACTGAATATGATAATCGAAGGAGTATATTAAGGCACAATGATGCGATACAAAAGGGTTTGGGCAATTTGGTGGAAAAAATTGATATTTAAGTGGTAAAATAAATAAATAAAAACATTTGTATGTTGTAATTACTAAAACGACAACAATATAGGTAGTAATTACCTAAAAATTTCTTATTACTACGTATTATTATCGGTTGAATTGACCATATAACTGGTCGGGTCTAATAAATATCAAATGCAAAATCTATACAATCAATACTATCAACTTATAATTAAACTAGACTTTGATTCTTAAAGAGGATTAGAGTACTACATACGAAGTATCATGTAAAGCTACTTAATATCTTTATAGGTTAAATACTTAAATCATCTAATGTTAGGCTGTTTAAAATGGTTGCATACTTGTATTATAAGATTGGAGATTTGGAGTGTTGGACCATTAAATAACATTTCAATACATGAACTATAAAGTGACAAACTTTTAAAGTGTAATCTTCTTCACAGATTTGGATAGCTTTCAATAATAGTGTTTTAACTATTATATACAATTAAGTAATGTGATTAAAAAAAACATAATTACATAAAAAAAAAAAAAAAAAAAAAAAAAAAAAAAAAAAAAGAATACTCCACAAAATGAAAGGCTCAAGAACCTCACTCTATACTTGTAAAATGTCTATACCCATTAGTCTTAGTCAGCTTCCACTTTTGACCCTCAATTTAAAACCTTTAACAGCCTATATATAACTCATCTAGTCCCAAAAACAAAAACCCTCAAAATATTTATGGATGTTTGTTACCTTAGTTTTAGCTAGAGAATTTTTATTTATAACTAACCATGACTTCTAGTGATGAGCAAGTAACGTCGGCTCGTCAGCAGCTCCAATGGTTCTTTTCCCAATCGCCGCTGCTCGGCCAATCAGTCGGGTTAAGGTCCGATGACACCTCCATAACTATTCACGTCATGACACCCATATCCAGCCCCATGAAAACGGGTGTTGCAACAACCATGCATAATAATAAAAGTTACTTTGAAGAAGTTGGTCATGTTACAAATAATAATGTTGTTGATCCACAAGAAGAGTGGCTTCCTATCACTGAATCTAGAAATGGTAACGCCTTCTATGCCGCCTTTCATACCATTTCTTCCGGCATCGGTTTTCAAGCTCTTATGCTTCCATTAGCCTTCATTTCCCTTGGTTGGTAAGTTTTTCACTTCTTAATCGATCTATACTTCAATTTGTTTGTTTGAAACATTATTTACTACTAGTAAATAGTTTTGGACCTTTGATTTGATGCATGCAAAATATGTTAGAACTTGTCATTTGTATTTTATTATAGTTTAGAGCACATAATTAGTTAATCCCATGGCCTATGAGAACTTCTTATACGTTGTGATATAAATGTATATATGGCTAATAAACACAATGTATGGACTTTTAGAATATTCACTTCTCCTTTAATTATTGCGTAGAATTGATAATAAATAGATAATTATATCAATTAGCAATATATATAATTAAGCAACTTTGTGCAATTATTTGATATTAATTTTTATTTAAAAAAAAAAAATAAGCTAGGAGAGATCTTAATTTAGACACATGGCAACGGACTAAAATGATTGGCAAGTATAGTAACATGTCGTACCATAAATAGTAAGAAATACTTTATCTATATGTGGAGAAACCTCCTTTAACCCTTTTTTTTGGGTGTTAATTTATATGGAAACTAATAGTAATACAAGTACTAATGTACTGATCAACTTATCAATTTATTATCATAAAGCAATCTTTATTTACGTACATAAAGTGTAAAGGGGTGATTTCGTTCAATATTTACATGTTATCATACGGCTCCAAATATATATAAATTCTAAATTTAAGCTAAAAAAAGCTTCATAACGTCTCATGTAAGAATTTGTGCGGTATAGTAGCCAAATCAGATACCTCTTAATTATTTTCTTAGTTTGATTTAAGGAAGGTGTGTGCATGTAAGTTTAAATTACCATATAATTTTCTTTTTATTTATTTAACAGGATATGGGGCATTACTTGTCTTTCATTGGGTTTCATATGGCAATTGTATACGACATGGTTGCTAATTCAATTGCATGAATCAGAGAATGGCACACGCTATAGTAGATATCTCCGGCTATCTATAGCAGCCTTTGGTGAGCTTGAATTCATTCTACTAGATATATATTTGATAGAAATATCTTAAATTATCTCTATTATCACTTTAATTATCTATCAAAGAGGACGTACAAGTAATAAATTATACGAAGTACTTCATATGTTATAGTAATTGCGAGTACTAAAATATTACATGTGATCTTGGTACACTTACGTTAGCATATTCATGGTATTGATAAACCTAAAAATATGAATTGCGTTAAAAAGAGCATGTGACTTTTCTTTTGAACATCTTTGAAATATATTCAGCTATTACTATACTCCAAATGTGCTCTTAAATTTTGTTGCTTTTCATACTTTATTAGTCAAAAGAACACTATTAAAGATGTAATTAAACAAAGTAACTTTCTTTATAATGTAGGAGAAAAGCTTGGGAAACTTCTATCCTTGTTTCCAATCATGTACTTATCAGGTGGCACGTGTGTGGCTCTAATCATGTTTGGAAGTGGGACCATCAAGATTTTCTACCAAACAGTTTGTATGCCTAATTGTAATAAGGCTAACCCATTAACCACTGTTGAATGGTACATGGTCTTCACTTCTTGTGCTGTGATACTAGCTCAGCTCCCCAACTTGAACTCAATTTCCAAGGTATCATTCATTGGATCCTTGACCTCTGTAGGGTATTGTACCCTTATATGGGTCATATCCGTATGCAAAGACCGACCCACGAGTGTATCATATGGACCGACCCATGTCAAGTCCGACGTCGATAGGGTTTGTGGAGTGATCAATGCAATTGGGATGATTGCTTTTGCTTTTAGAGGGCACAACTTAGTGTTGGAAATACAGGTAAAATTGACATTGATGCATAGAAGAATATGGTATAAGAGAGTTTTTATATTCTTATTATTATGGCATGGAGAAGGTCAATCCTAGGAGGACGGGTTTTAGAAATATCCCTTCTTGAATGAGCTTGGTGAATCCTCATGCCTGAAAGTCGAAGAGCTAGTCAACTTCTCTATTCTTGCTCCTATCTTAGGTTCGGTAGATAATGAGCATTTGGTAAAATGTGTGTGTTTGGTGCAGGGAACCATGCCAAGTAGTGTAAAGCAACCATCAAGAATAGCAATGTGGCGAGGGGTGAAATTTGCTTATTTGATCATTGGATTGTGCTTATTTCCTGTCGCATTTGGCGGATATTGGGCATATGGAAACTTGGTTAGTTCAAAACTCATTTTATTTCTTAAATTTTGACTTGTTATGATCTCTATAATAAAATGGATTTTTTTGTTAATCCCTTTAATTAAAATTATGCCTCTTATTAATAGAAAACTATTTAACGCTTCAATCTGCTTAATACTAACAAGAAAAAGAAAAGAAAGACTTATTAACAAAAAAAAAAAAAAAAAAAAACACTCTTTCAAAGGACTCATTTTTGTATTTTCATAAACACAGAGAAAATGACACGTTTCTAAATTGCTTTTTACACCTTGGAATTTTTGTTTACAAATTTAACTCGGTAAGAATATTAAATGATCTTCACTTGGAACCAGATGAAATTTCACTCTGCCAATACAAGAACCTGCTTGAAGTCAACTTTCCCTTTTTGCTAATTTGGTTTTCTATTGCTATAGATTATACCTACAAATGAAGGGCTAATAAAAGTCATGTATGAATACCATGGGCACGACACTTCCAAGTTTCTACTGTGTCTCACAAGCCTGCTTATCGTGATTCATTGTCTCAGCTCGTTCCAGATATATGCAATGCCGGTGTTTGACAACTTGGAGTTCCGGTTCACAAGCAGCAAGAAGAAGCCATGCCCTCGTTGGTTGAGATCAGGAATCAGGGCCTTCTTTGGATGCTTAACAGTCTTCATAGCATTTACAATACCATTCTTGCCGAGTTTGGCAGGTCTTTTAGGAGGCCTAGCTCTGCCTCTCACCCTAGCATATCCCTGTTTCATGTGGATAAAGATCAAGAAACCCCGAGAGTTTGGCTTTATGTGGTACCTTAACTGGGGGCTAGGATGTTTTGGGATACTTCTAAGCATTCTGATAGTGGCCGGAGCCATATGGAGTATAGTGATCAAAGGGATGCCAGTCCACTTCTTCAAGCCGGATAAGCGATAGTAAGATGTCCTCAATTTAGCAGCAGAAACAGCTTGGCATAACCAGCAATAACTAAGCATTGTAAATTTTAACACACCAGAATAACTTGCCCGTGGCTTATGTAACGTGCAGTGATGTCTGAAAGTTCCACAATCTTACAGCCCTTTGTATGCAAAGTTCATGGACCATAGTAGCCACCCATAATGTGTATAAATGCCTCAATACCGACTGTCCAGATTCAATGCAACGATACTAGACTGCAGCACAGTGCGAACATCCCTCTAGGTTAGAAGGAGTTCTACTGTGACACATTGCATCATATATCAGGCTTGAGATATCTTGGCGGTCATCACATTGAGACAAATCACACAACTACCATCTACTTTTTCTGCTTTTAATGAACTCCGATGCCAATCAAAAAAAATATAAAAGGGCAAAATTGAACAATTAAAAATGGTAAAATCTCACATTTTTACAGGCAGAATATTCCTAAAGGACGTTACATTGATAATGGTAGAAGCATCCTTCGTTTCTTCTTACGTGCCAAACGTATTTGCTTTGTGACTTTCATGCACAGAAGTAGCAACAATGTGACACATAAAAAAACAAACGCAAGTTGCACATGTCTGAAATAAAGTGAGACTCCTGAGAAAACCAGGAATGCAAGAATGACGAGCTCCCAAATAACGAAGATCACTATATCCACCCTGCTAAAGAGAACCAAAGCCGTCTAAACAATCAGAAATTTCATAACAATTTGCAGGACCGTTGGGTAGGGGGGTGTCAGGGGAGTGGTAACAGTTGAGGAAGTACAAATGCATAATAAATAAATAAATAATAGCAATGAAACCTACAACGCAAGAGGCAAAATAGTCCTCAATGACAATGAGGACTTTGACCTAAAGTAAAGAGAGAATGCTTACATCCTAAGTATCCTGTCGCATACTAAAATAAAAATTTGTCATAGGGGAGATGCCAAGATGCTCTTCAATAACAAAGATTGTGCATGCATTAAAGAGCACAATGCAAACATCCCACCCCACACAAAAATGAAAATAAACCCCATATGGAACACTCTTTCTCCTACTTTTTCTTACACAAACCCCATTAGTTTCAAACTTTTTCCTACATTTTCTTACACAAACCTCATTTGCTATCCTCTATTAAATCCTACCCTCCTTGGTTTCTGTAGACTACGGTAACTATAGCCAACAGAAAAAACCAAGGGAGTATAAGCAATATACTTGCATAACATAGTTATTTCCTATCATATTTTAAAATGAAAACACTCCAACTTGTGTGTCTCCAAACCCTTTCTTCTGTCATGATCCCTTGGTTAAAATGAGAGATGGTAGAGGGATGGGGAGGCAGGCAGGGAAATTTTGGAAGGTAGTTCATAGTGTTCACATATGGAGAATGGATTGCGAAGGGATTTTTTGGCCTAGAGAAGGAACGGAAAGGGAAAGGGGAAATTGAGGAAGAAATTTTAAACATAGAAAGGTCCCTTGTTTAGTTTGCAAAATTGAAGAATTACAAATTCCGAGAAATTTTGAATTCCCACATATCATGGGAAGTTAATTACCTAGTCCCCTTTGGTAATTAACAATTCACATGAAATGCAATTTCCCTTATGTCAACAAAACAAGTTTAGCAAATTCCTAGGAAACATAAGAAAGAAACTTTTACCTATAAAATGTAAATGACCATAGTCCATAACCAAAAAAGCACTTTGACTAAGTGTAGGGCAATAGTTGGGACTTAGGGAAAGCTATAAGCTATACCATGAAGACAACCCACCGCAGGAACTTGCTTTGTTCTTGCTCCGCTAGTTCCCACCTTCCTTCCTCCAACCATAGTGAACTTTAAGAAAGACCCTTCATTTCACTACAGTTGGAACCTCACTGGCTTTATCGGTAAGTTACTTACTTTGAGCTAGGGTCCCCGCCAGCTTTGGAGAAAAATGAAAAGACAAACTAGCATTATTCCCGATTTCTTTTTTTTAGGGAGTAGACCATAATTGTCAATAGCGCACTGAGATAAAAGACAAATACATAAGTAAAGGTAATAAAGTCGTTGGGTATGGTGAATATGAGGGGGTCGCTATGTTCTTTCAATGCGTCGAGTGACGCTGTTGTACCATTTATAGTAAATTCACGCCCAAACCATAACGAATTGATCGTTACCTTCAATAGATCAGTAGATCGGGTTGTTTTAAGAAGACCACTAATAGTTGGTATTATTTATATTAATATTTCATATAAGTACAGTGCAACCAAAAAAAAAATCAAAGAGACTTGATTCCCATCATCTTATCAAGAATTAGATACCTACAAAACAACCAGTCAACTAGTCAAGCATGCAATTACACTCTATTAAAGGGTGGGAAACTATGGATTGAAATTCCAAAACCCATCACATTCATGTCTATCATGGACGTGAATAAAACTCAAGCCCAATATTCATTTTAGGAAAATCTTCACTATAGGTAGGCAATTTGGGCAAAAAAAAGGAAATTGAAAAAAAAAAAAAAACTTTCAAAGTTCAGCGGCATCCCAAAATTTAAATTCCTCAGATTTCTAAATTTTAGCAGTCCCCCAAAATTTTCCTCCTTTCATAGTAGTCACCCAAAATTTCCCCTCTCCTCACACTTCTAAATTTTAGCGGTTCCCCAAAATTTTCCTCCCCTTCTATCTGCTAAAAAAGTTCACAATGTTGCAATTAGTTCTTCAACTCCCTTATTATTTTCTTTATTACTTGAAATGTTGAATAAAAAAAAATTAAAAAAACGGATTTTCTAGTTTATGATTTTGATCCACCATGAATTAGAGTATAGATTTGACCAATAATTACTTATGGGTATGGAGGTAGTTGGGTACTTCACACCAATAAGTTTCTGTCAAGATGAAAACACGTCACACGCTATCTACTTTTATTCTGGAGAAACAGATGGTAATAATCCCACTTATTGGTCATCTCAAAATAATCCTACCTTTTAATTATCAGGAAATGATTCCACATTAGGGAGGTACCATCCCAAGTCCTAACCTATAGTTAACCTATAGCAGGTCAAGCATAACACATGTTCCCGTCTAATTGGCCAATTATTTATTTGTTAAATTGAAAAATATCATTATCTCATCTCTACACCCTTCCTATCCTCGGACTGACAACCCCAATTATCTCTCCTCCTTTAAACCTTTCCCTCATAAATCTTCTCTCCTCTCAGCTCACTCTCTCAGTCTCTCAGCTCTTAGCCCTTTCCCTCCAACATCTTCTCTCATTCCCTCTCTTCCCGGCATCTCTTTACAAATTAATTTCCCCAATTTTAAATCATGGCAAATTTACTTCACTTAAATTTATCTCCTTCTCTTAATTTATTGCCTTTTACACTTATGATTTTCCATAGTGAAATCTACTCCTAGAGTCCTAGTTGTTAGGATTCCTCCCGTTATAAATTGTGTATTACTAACTTCAATTAGCTGATACTATAAGGTATGGTGCAAAACTATGGACAGATCACTTCAAAAAGGCATTTGGTAGAGAATTTTCAATTGACCAAACCGACAGTACAAAGTGTTTCAACTTTCAAAAGATCTGATCTCGACCAAATCAAACGCTATAACCCTGAAACGCCCTGCACTGAATGTTACATACCGCATTTCACTCAAAGGGTACTTGTTATTTAGAGATAAAATGAAAGGCTCCCTATATCTTCCTAGTAATGGCACTAAGCCTCTAGTAGCATAAATACATTTCTTTAAGGTTTTTACACGTTGGCTTGTGACACTATTCACAAGCATTACTTTGACCATCTTTTATAATTTATTATACTTTCTCCCTTTTTTGTAAATATTGCACCACTTGCCTTTTAAGGAAATTTCACAAATATTGCACCATATCCATTTTAGGAAAACAAATAATTGTGTTCACAATATAAACACCCTACATACCCTTACTTTTTAACACTTGATTCTATAATTTATGCTTCAATCACATGGACAAATTTGTACTTCTTACCTTTCTCTCTCCTCCTTTTTTCCACAACCAAAAAATTTGTGTCAAACCCTTATGGTGCAATGTTAAAAGAACGGAGGAAGTATGTAACAGATAATATATTCACGTGTGATTTTGTTAAATTTGTTTCAATATGTATAATATTTATAAAGTAATCTTCACAAATACATAATGAAAGATATCAATTGTCAAAGCTTTATAATGGTAAACATGACAAGAAAAGAGGCGACGGTAGTATAAAATCCTAAAAAGAGTTTGAACTGGAATCCTTAGCACGACAACTACAACATGGGTGATCAACGCATCATTTAAATTCAAGCACTGCAACACTAAAATCCGCAATCACAACTGAAATCATATTCTTAAACCATGTATTCTTGTTTCATCCTTTTGGTAGGGAAAAAGAAACTCTACATTAATAAATCGAAGTTGGGAGTTGTAAGCAATTTCTCAAGGTAAATTTTGCTCCAATTGTGCCTTCTAAATTCTATTACTCCATTCGTCTCATAATAGTAATGCCTCTTTTTCTTTTTGGGTAAACCAAAATACATTGTCTCTTTCTATTTAAAGGTTATACTTTTTGACATTATTCCTTTCTTTTTGATGAGTTGTCTTCCTTTTATTTTTTTTGTATTTTTAACATTAATTTCCAACACTTTCTCTCTCTATCTTTTCAATTACTCCCAACTATCTCTCTCTAACCCCACATACACATATGTACTTTTATTTATTAGTTTTAAGAAATTTCCAACTTTCTTAATTCCCGCGTAAAAACCTAAAGAGTCATTGTATTATGAGACGGAGGGAGTACTATTTAAAAAACGGATTTTTCACGAAACTTATGGGTGTATGGTGAATTTGAAATTTTTAATGAGTATATGGTGAATTCAGTGATTACTAAGGGGTATTTCGTGAAAAATCCGTTTGATAAAACTTTGTATTTTTATTTTTTACATTGGTGGTGATGACTCCATTTGATGACATGATTGAACTTTGCAAAAGAGTAGTCTCTATTGACAAAGATAAGATCCCAAACTATAATTAAAAAAACCCCGAAAAGAGTTGTTAAAAGTTAAGTGAAAAGAGAGTGAAGAGGAAGAAAAGATGACATCAAACCAAATTAGGCATGGGTATTGTATAAACGTGATGGTGGTTGCAGCAAGGGAGAGAGAGAGGGAAGGAGGTGGAGAGCGCATGATACCAGCTCTTTAGTTTGAAGGTGACTGGGAACCCAATTTAGAGAGGCACCGCCTAAATATTAACCTAATTAATTAAAATTGTGACTCTTTCGAGAAGTATGAGTAAAGATAGAATTATTAAAATTAATATTTTCAATATAACTCCAAAAAAACACAAATTTCTTATGAAAATATCTTTAAAATTCAAATAAATCTAGAAAATGTCCTTCAAAAGCTACCATAATAAAACATATCCCTATATAATTCATAAAAACAAAAATTCTAAAAATGTACTCCACATAAGTACATATTACTTTAACTTATTTATAAATAAAGATATAATACACATTAGAATGCTAAATATTCTTAATATTGAAAAGCCTTTATAGACGAAAAATACAAATAAAACAATAATAAGTAGTTCATGCCATGTCAACATTGTAGTAGGAAAGGAAATTAGCGACATCTAGGCAAGATACCTAAAGCGAAACAATTCCAAAGTAGAAATCCTAAGTAAGTTACTCAAAGTGGATTTTTGTTGAACACGGGAACCTGAATTGGGAATTTTCCATTATTGTATAATTAGGGTGACTTGAACCCTCAATAGGAACAACATTAATTGCTGAATATTAGATCCCTATTAACTTGATGTTATCAAATGAGTGAATTTGTCTGTTTTTGAATAGCTAATGGCAAAGGCCTATTCAAAGGAATGAAGGACCTTATTTTGGGGCTCTCACATTTGTTTCCTCCATTAGGCTATATGCCCATCTTAAACCAGTGCAAAAGCTCATACCAAGCATAATCAAAACCATATAAGATAAAAGCCACAACATAACTTCTTTGTGTTGGAGTTAAGTCTTCCATGGTAGTCGTTTCTCTTGATAAAACACAACCAAGTGTTCCACATAGTTAAAGCATAAGGCTTTACCCACTTTATATAAGTCAAGCCATTGTAAGCTTTGATTACAAGAACCAAAGGTATGCAATATGCTTTTAGCAACCGCAAGCACACATGGACAGGAGTCCCACGAGGCCGTGACGCGCATTCGCAGGTGTCTTTTTTTACCGTTGGTTGAAATAATTTGCCTTAATCGTATAACATCCACATTCAATGTTCTGACGATTCGTGACTGTTACAGATTTTCCTTTATGATTGGTTACACTCCCTAAATCTTACTAGCCGTTTTTCCGATTGGTATCATTCCCCAATATAAGCTAGCCATTTTATCCCTAACTAAAGCTAACTTAATTACCTTGTTTTGGGACTCACGATTAAGATTATATAATGTATAACGGAAAACACAACCTATTTTCATATTCAATGTCATTATCCTTCATTATTCAGACAATTATTCATAGTGTTCTCAATCAATATATTCGACATACACCGAAGAGTTGTGTATTGTGCAAGGCAAATTCGACTTTATGGTAGTGAGTTTGTTCACGCCACAACATAATCAAATAGGCTTGTTCAAATATTATCTGTTCTTAGCTATTATTTCCTGCATTTTAAGAAGGCAATTAATGGGAGTCAAACCAAAGACCTTTGTTTGGTTGCTATTTGCACTTGACCACTAAGCCACTCTTCATAAATAATTTTTCAAGAAGGCAGTTGGCTTGGAAGGAACATAACTTTCCCAAAATGGTGGTAGTTGGCTTAGGATTCCAGATTTCCATACCCTCCACAATAATATTAGCACAAAAAATGTTCATATTCTCGTACTTGATTAATAACAGTTTTATCATCAGTCATATCAAAATTTAGCCAGCAACTATAAGCATATTTCTTGGTTCCAACATCATTAGTATCATACTAAGTTTTCAGGGCATCTCAAATATCTTTAGCATTATTAGAATTACTATAGATCAAATACAAGGGACCAGTCATATCATGCAAGAATAGTCTAGTATTCCATGGCATGTCATATTGTCTTTTTCAAAACTCCAAATAGAATAATCAGCGGCAAAACCAAAGGTTGGAACATTGTATGTGGACATTATACCATTAAGGCAATAATTATTCCGACTAGCAGTAAAAAGACACCAGCACCCGTAAGCAAGCCCACGCACGCGCATGCATGTGCAATTGCTAGAGCATACCTCTACTTTTCCTAATCAAAGATTACAAAGGACTTGGCATATATGAAGTGGGTAAAGGCCTTTTATTTTGTCTATATGGGACACTTGGTTCTTTTGAAGCAACAATATAGTTCGGAGTTTTCTCAAGAAAACACCTTGTAGCTAGGCTAATGATTTCAACATATGCTAAAAACGGCAAATACCTTATGATTCATCTTAGGGTGAAGAGAAATGGAACACATCATCACAAGATATCAAGTATGTGAACAACTTAAATTTAATAGATCTGAAACTACACTGAACACGAATTTTGCACCTCAAAGCTAAAAGTAAACACTATTTAAAATAAAGCAAAATATCAAGATCATGAACCCATTTCCAATCATTTGTTTTTCACACTCATGACTTGTTTCCAGTGGAGGCATAATCAAATGACAAAGCCTAAGAGAAATCGACAAAGGGCTACAAATAAAGCAAACACCACAACACTACAAATTGTATCGAATCTATACTAATATTTTAAAACAAGAACTTTTGCAAGTCATACAAAGTGTCACGTGGCATCTCCCTAATATCCATTTGTAATTACATATTTTTATACTTTTTTTATTAATTTAAATGAAACCTTTTCATTTATGTCTTTTCATCATATAGTTAATTAGTTTTCTATTTCCTTGGATAAATATACTCTTTCAATGTTTATTTATTTATTATTTTTTTTTAGGAAAACTCTTTCAATATTTATTATGAATCTTAATAGCATCCAATCATAGTTACTGAAAACTTCATTTTTCGACTCTCATCCCAAATGATAGTCATTATAACTTAGAAATTCTCTTCTTTCTCCCCATTTTTGCATGTCGAAAATTTATTATCCTTCCTATTTTTCTAATTTGAATTGTACAACCTTACACCGCAATTGAGTTGATTTCCTTTCTTCCTACGAAGTATTTCTCTAAATTGAATTATAGAACCTTACACCGCAATTGAGTCGATTAATTTTGTAAGACAATTTGGCCAAATTTTGTATCGATCGGTTTCACACTTTCATCAAATTTGTCACAAAAAGGTTTGTTTTCTCTATGGTTAACTCCCTCTTTTTTTCAATTTGCAATTTTACAATTTTAATCTCAATTATAAATATTGTGATAAATTAAATTATTTGTATGGAGTATAAACCCTTTGTGTGTTTTTTAATATTATTTTTGCTAAAATTTGAAATAAATAGGCAAAACCAAATTTAATTTGACGGCAGAGTTACTTTTTTTTTTTTGGTTAATGCAATTTGTATTACTTAATGTTACATATGATATGATGTTTTTTTTTTCCATTAAGAATATATTGCATTGCATTTATGTATGTAGTATTAAATTTTAATTTACTAAAAAAGTGCTATTTGTATTTACAAATGTTTTTGATTATCTTTTTTTAAAAAAGTTTTTGATTAAAAAAAAGCCTAAATACATATATTTAGATAAATAGATGATTACGTGTATAGCACGGGCTAAATACTAGTTATTTTTGAAAAATGGACAAACCTACATATCTAAAGCCTCATATCCTCTTTACAAGAACACTCGGGTGTGCTCTGATTAGCTCAATATTACCAGAAATCATCAAGTATATCAAATCAAAAAATCATCCAATAGACTCCTCGAGCCATATAAAGTCTAACATAACCATACCCAAAGGTGATCTAAATCTATTTACCCCAAATCTATCCACCAAATAATCAAATTTCCTCAATCTCAACAAACCCTAAAAGTTTTCAATTTCACTCAAAACTAAAATTCTCAAGTTCTAAATCAAAAATTACACAAATCAAACCAAATTCTCAAACTAAATGTCGTAACAGATCTAAAATAACAACGAAATTCGCGATCAGATCATAAAATCCCAATTCAAAAAATAAAATCGAAATTAAAGTGAGTAATCAATCAAAGAATAATACCTAGAAGTGAAATTGGAAGTGGAAGAGAAGAAAGAAGCAGAGGCCCAATCATGTTTGGATCGAACCTGGTACTCTCTGAGCTGCTCCGCAAGATTATGCCTCGTAATCATCCCTCAAATTTCTCAATCCTCCTCAAAGATGAATCGAAGAGGAGAGAGAATGAGAAATCGTAAGGGAATTATTTAGGGTTGTTGAAGATGGGAGTTTCAGAGAAGAAGAAGGTCCGTTAATGGAGGTTTTGGGATCGCCGGAGAAGAAGATGCGCAAAGTGTGAAGAAAGCAGAAGAGAAGACCCAAACAGGAAAGAGAAAGAGAAGGAGAATTCAGAAGTTTGGTGTTTTAGGTGGGCCTTCGATTTACTGTATGTTTTATGCTTATTAGCCCAATAGGAAAAATGTTTCATTCGTCGTTCTTTTGTTATCTTATTATACGAAGTACCTTGATTTCAAGTTTTTAAGAAGCAAGTGTAAATTTGTAATTATGATGGAAAGAATTATTGGTAAGGAAATAGATAGAGAAAAGTAAGTGGGATTGAAGATGAGAAATCAAAATGTTCGTGGAAATTTGAGTTTTGGACTCTATGAATCAAGGGATATATGATATGAACAACGAAAAACGAATTAAAGGAAAGCAAATAAGAGGGGGAAAAGGAATTATTGAAGTATTACCTTTATTATTGTTGTTAAATTAACAAATATGTAGTAATAAAAATGCAAAGGAATCACTTAAATTTAATTTTCTGCTAGATAAAATGAAACCACTTATAAGTTTAACCTACTTATAATTGGAATTTTTTTCTAGTAAATGCATATGAGCAAAGCTTTACATGACTAAGCAAATATCTCAATACAATCATTAAAAGTACCACCAAAGATAGGTTAGGCTACGATATAAAAGTTTAAAAGCAAAGCATAACAAAATACCAATAAGTATTGGCGAATAAGCCCTATATATTTCACTTGCAAATAGGATGGCATTTTTATATGTAATGGGAATTTGACAAAAAAAGGTGGTAGAAAATATTATGACAAAATGTACCACTACATGCATAATAGTACATAAAAATGTACCACTGTACCATTAAAAGAGAGAAAATGTACCACCGAATCCCCAATTGTCGTCCTATATGCATGCAAAATACATAGGCCCTATGCGCCTATATGCACTCCACAAAATACAACTTTTTTGGAACATATTGCTTCTTCAACTTAGTTAGAGCTTGAAAAAAGTATTCGAAGCTTATATATTTCACCCATTTGAGAATCGTTTCCACTTCTAAAGCTTCGAAAGAGGAAACATTGTTGGTTCACTATGTTTTTGGCCCATTGCATATGTTGTTCAGCCCAACTCTTTTATAAGCTTTGTTTTGTTATTGGGCCACTGCCTAAGTGCAATAGAATTAAAAATCAGGTAAATTATGAAGTATGGACCATCCAATTGACCAATCAATAGTAATACTTTCGTTTTTTTAGTTGCATCATTTGCATAGACACAAACTCTAGGCAGTTTGGGAGATGAGAAGATTGAGAGAGAGAGAGAAAACAAAAAAAAAAGAGACCCATGCATGTAATATAAGAGAGATGAAGAGAATTTATTAACTAGAAAAAAGTGATGCATGTAAAGTGAAACTTTTTTATTTAGAAAATGATGCATCTAAAAAGAAGCGGAGGAAGTAATCAAAATGATTTTACAATACAAAATAACAAAATCAATTTAATACAGTAATAATAAATCATTTCACTTAACAAAATGTATGTCAAGTGAATAACAGATCAATAAAATTTAGTCTATTAAGTACTCGTATTAAAAAAAAAAAAAAACCGATCAGGACTGATCAGTTACAATTTTGTTAAATAAAGGCATTGTCTTCTTATAAGTCTATTGATCTATATCTTGATGAAATAAAATACTCAAAAGGGGTGAAGAATGAGATGACTTCAGACTTCATTCACAAATACAATTCACACAAGTAGATAATGATAATTCATACAAGCATATGGCAATCAACCGAAAGTAAGGAGAAGAGAAAGTTGATTAAGATTGGGAAAACCATGGATATTGCTTAATGAGATTAAAGAATATGGACCAGCTTAAAACCAAGCCGACCATTTGTCATGTTAATTATTACTTTCTTTTTGTCTAACCTTTAGTTAGGAAAGTAAAGAATTGGGAATTTGGGATGAATGTACTTTTTTGTCCAATGTATTTTTTAATACCAAAACTAGATTAAGTCCCGTGTCACACACGGTTTTTACAAAATTTTATAAAGAATTATAATGTTAATTCAAATTCTATCAAAAAATAATCCTCATATTTTTAAATGAAATTGAAAAAGTTTGAATCTTAATCAATAACTATATACTAAAAGACTCACCATCGATGACACGTGTCATAACCTGGTGTGTCCTTAGTAGGTTTTTTTTTTCTTTTTTCTTAAAAAAAAAAATTCAATGATAGTATAAAATCTTATACAAAAATAATTTTTTATATATGTTAGTAACAAAGATAACTACTTTAAATAAAAAAGATTTGATATACCTTTCCACACAAACATTTGTGACTATAATAGAAAATATTAACATAATTTGCGACATATTTTAATTTACTTCAAAAAAGTATTCATATTTTTTCACTAATAAAAATAGTTGTTTGTTTATTGATTAGAATTCACATCAAAGTAGTTTGTATATTTATTAGGTTTTTATTTTTTATTTTTGTAAAATAACCAATTATATTGAAAAGTTGATATTAATTTTTAAAAATTACAATTACCGTGCATGGCACTGGACCTAAACTAGTTTATACCCAAAATTAAGCCCCAAATTCGGATTAGACTAAATGGTGAACCAGGCAGAACACCAAAAAAAAAAAGTAAAAGACAGAATAATATTTTATTACAATAAAAATAAGTGAATAAACTTTTAGGAAGTGAATCCCAATTATATAATTGAGTGGATTTTTTTTTTTAAGAAAGTGAATCACAATTATATAAAGAAGTGTTTTTTTTTGGAAGTGAATAAAAAATAAAATAAAAAAAAGTTTTGGAGGGAAAAAACAGCATCAAGAAGTGACACGTGTCATTCTTTGTGTTTGTTTTAGTATTATGTTATTATTACAAGTATAAAACCCGTGCAATTGCATGGTTTTATAAGTTTAAATATTAATTCTCTCAAACTTTTTGTTATTGTTTGCTTAATGCATAATAGTGAAAGATATAATTAATTTAATGTTTACCCATTTATCACAATTCTCATTATCATATTTATAACTCAATGTTTAAAAAAACATAGAAACAAAGATATGAATAAGGTTTATGCTTTTTATTATTGATAAATTTTACTTTTTAGATCAAAATGATGTATGACCATTCACATATCTCATGCAATATCCTTCATGTGTATTTTTGTTTTAATCAAGCTAATAAAAACATACTCTCTCAGTCCCATAATATTGTCATAGAACGTAAAAATCAAGTTAATTATTGTCCCTATTGTATATTTTTAGCTTTTTAAATGATAAAAATCGACTTACAGTTGTCCCTATTGTAACCCCTAACACTTACCGGGTAACCTCTATAATATTAATGAAGTAACCCCTATAATTCGAGTAACCCATATAACACTGAACCCCCGTAATGTAACCAACCACATATAAAAGCTTGTGTAATAATTTTATTTTACGGAGTAATATACTCCCATTGTTTCTTTTTTCTATTTTCTATTACTACTCTGGAAAGTAAAAAGTGCATATTGTGAGTCCTTTTGGGCAAGGGAGAGAGAATTTATTAAGATAATTTCCACCCAATACCCCTCAATGGAAGAAAGTAATTAAGTATAATATGGTAGGCATAAAAAGGGTTATATAAGAATTTGTCATATTTTTAATAGGAAAGGCTGATATTAAAAAAAAATAATAATAATAATAAAAAAAGATAAATGAAAAAAAAGAGCGAATAGTACCTCATACATAGTACTTCGTAAATGTTAGTGCTATTTTAAAAATTATCTATTATATAAAAAATCTGCAAAAAAATTCTATTTGATTGTATGGATTAAAATTATTTCCCAAAATGAAAAACAAATATTTTACAAAATACTTCGTTCATATATTATAATATTCGAAGATTTGAAAAAAATAATTAGATTAAATAAAATTAAATCGAAAAAAGAAAGAATAAAAAGGCATAGATTTTTTTTTAATTAGATATCATCGTACTTACCAAAATGAGTCAAAAGATGTGAAAGATATTATTCTAAGATTAAAATCAACAATAAAATGGAATATTGCATTAATAATTAAAAGATATTACAAAAAAATTTCTATATTTAGGAGTTTGAAAATGGGCGGAAAAATATTAATTGACGACATGTGTCATTTTTGCATCTAGGCGCTCTTTGTTTTAGTATATATATATATATATATATATATATATATATATATATATATATATATATATATATATATATATATATATATATATATATATATATATATATATATATATATATATATATATATATATATATATATATATATATATATATATAGATAGATAGATAGATAGATAGATAGATAGATTAAAAGGTCTCATGAGTTTAAATAAAGATAGATAGCATCGGTTGACATATATGTATTTCAGCTTCACAATATATAATATTAAAAGGTCTCATGAGTTTAAATAAAGATCACTATGTTAAAATTAGGGTCACTATATTCAATACAACGTTATTTGTGCGCATATAGGTCCATAATAATATTATTGTGAAGCAGATCCACACAAGTTTTTTCCCTCAATTGTCTTTTGAAATTCTTATATACAACTAGGTGTCAAAGGCTGTTCTATACATCTGGCTGCACGGTGCATCCAATTTTTTTATTTTTATTTATTTATTTATTTATTTTGCTTATTTTGATGACTAAATTAAATAATCACTATTGTTCATTTAATCATCTAATTAGCAAAAAATAACCCTATTAGAATTTTCAAAAGATAGTTCAATAAGGCCTATTGTCTTTACTTTTCTTTTGATAAACTGAAATCATTTTTATTGAATTGAAATTATTTTTGCTAAACTGAAATTATTATATTGATTGAACCTTAGTTTTCCCTGATTTCCTATTTAATTTATTTTTTAAAGTTACTTATTTTCACTCAATTGAATTTATATTTATTAAACTTAAATTAAAACTGCTGAATATTATCTAAATAAGGTGAGAGAAAAATAAAGCTTAACTTTTACTTCATAAAGGTTATAGAATTTTTTCATCGTTAACCCAATTAGTTTTAGGAATATTTCAATTTTATTACTCTCTCATTATCTAATGTGGGGCAATATTTAAACCAAGCTTGGCTAATTTAGCAAAAATATTTACCAGAATGGTTATTTTTATATAAGTCTAAGTTTAAAATTAACCAAATTATTAACTTGGAACTTATATTATTAACATTGCGTTAGCCACTTAGTATTACCCACAGTCCCACACCATTTTATTTCATTAACAAATTTTATCAATAAGATATTTTCCAAAACATATGTGGTTGAACTTATCTTATTTATTTAAATTTATTTTTGCGAAAATAATTGGATACAAGGTAAATAGAATAAAGCCTAAACCAAAACATAGTACTGTATAAAATGGCTTAGGAAA